TCTATGTTTTACTGCCTTCAAGTTTGGTATGAGTTGAAATGCAGAGTTGGTATGGTGGCACCTGTTTTTATTTCAGACCCATGATCATCCTTGACTGCATAGTTGGAATTCTCTATGGGGACACAGCTGGACTCGAACTCACAGAGATCTGCCTGCCTCTGCATCACAAATGCCGGGATTAAAAGCACGTGCCACTATACCCCTCTGTGTGTGTGTGTGTGTGTGTGTGTGTGTGTGTGTGTGTGTCCACCTGTCTGAGAGCGGATGTGCATATGCATGTTTATTTGTGGCTGTGTTTAAAATAGGGTCTTGCTCAGATGTGTCTTGAATTTACCATGCAGCCTATGTTGGCCACAAACTCTCAATAACATTCCTGCATCAGGCTCTTCAGTACTGGGATAACAGATATGTATCATCATGTCCAGGTAACAAAGCTTTAAAGGACAGTTTATAAAACTTAGGTAGCTTTTAGAGAAATTTCCTGTGAATTTAATATTTAATTACTATCAAGTACTAAGTTTCAGGACTCGTGTTCCTGTTATCCTTTAGGTAGGTTTGACCATGTGTGTATTTAGTCCTCTCTGCACAGTTGTCACATTGAAGCTAGCAAGCGACAGCAGAGTTGTACTTCTAAGCTTGTGTTTCAGCATCCCGCTCTGAACCAGTTCGTGACAACACAGTCACTTAGAGTTAACTGGGTTTGTGTTAAATGTAGTTTAGTTTTTATTACCAATCATGATGAACTCTCTTAAACATCCTGGCTCTACCACTTTTTGTATGCTTTATGGTCCTTTCAAACTAGTTACAGAAGATTTGTGTACATACTGCTTCTTTGATACTTGTTCCAGTTCGCAGGCTGACTCTCCTAGTCTTCTTTTCCTGTTTAATAAAGTAAAAACTAGTGGGAGAAATGTTTCCCCCTATTGGAGGTAGCTACATACCAGTGCTCTGTGAACATCCTCATCTTATAAACCTGTGGATGTGCTTGTTTTCCCAGTCCCTGGAAACTCTCAAGACTTGGCATTCACGTCCTTCTCCTTGAAGCCCAAGTATGAATTAGCCCATTGCTTTAGACTGTGAGGTGGAGCATCCACTAATGGGATGAGAGTTATCACCAGTGTTAGAATAAAACTTAAGTGTTCTTTCCTGTCCTGAAGTGACTTACTAGCCTGGTTACAAAAAGAAATGCTTTGCAAGGTTACTTTCACTTGTTGATATATTTCTTTGTGAAACACCAGGAATAATTCTTTTGTAGCAGTAGCGGAAATTACGATTAATACAACATTTTGCCCCTTTCCCTTATATACCATTTGTAACCTTGGAAAATCATAGCTACAATTGTTCATTGATTGGAGTTTAGATTTTTCAAGCTTGTATTTAACGGCTTTATATTGCTCTTGCTAGAATCAACCCATTATGAACGGTGGCATTATCAACCTTTCTCAAAGTTTCTTGTGGTCTCCAGGGGTACAGCAGCCTGAAGAACGGCAGAGCCAAAGTCTGAGCAGGACTGCAGAGCTGCTCCGTGTCACATCTGCTCACTTTCCACTAATGTCCATAAGCCTTTGGCCTGCCAAATAGAAAAGGATTTTTTTTTTAAAAAAATAAGCTTCAATGTTTAGAAGAGACAAAATTTAGGATATTAGAAAATGTGATCTCTTCTGGTTTAGTAGATTCTTGGCTTAAACAACTGTAATTAAAAACAGACAAAATTTTAACCACAAATCTTAATCTAAATTTGCAAATTGAACTGTGAGGCGTTTACCTGTAACCTCGATGCTCTGAAAGGCGGTTTAAAGTCTGACATGCAGCAGATAGTGAAGGAATATGCTGTGCGTAAAGAGCGAGTCTGAGGGGCGGGCGGGCTGCACTGCCAGCTCTGCTTTGCTTCTGCAGCATCTTCAGTGTACTGAAGAGAAAATGTAGGCACAAGTGTGAGTGTCCCCGCAGGCTCATGGATTTGAACATTTGGTTTCCAGTTGGTGGCACTGTTTTGGGAGGTTCTGGAACCTTTAGGACATGACCCATAGGTGGTGAACTATTCCACTGGGCATGGGCCTTTAAGGGTTACTTCCTAGCAAAACACTTTTCCTTCTGATCTCCTGATATGACACACCACAAACTACCACCTTTATACACATGGCTCTGGCTCAGATTCTTAAATGGAGAGCCAAAGTAAACCTCTCCTACCTTATCTTATTTCTGTGAGGTTTTTGGTCACAATTGTCTATTAGTCTCTTTGACTGTAAACCTCCATCTTGTAGGGAAGCTGGTTAAGACATGAGTTGTATTAAAAGTCAGTAAAATATCTCATTTTTCAGGGAAAGTTCTTCAAGCTCAGGAAGTAAAACCTCAGAGGCTTCAGGAAGTCCCTAAAACTGACCCTCCCCAAGTGTGCATAAACAGTGTACTTGCTGGTTCTGTGTGTCAACTTGACACAAGCTGGAGTTATCACAGAGAAAGGAGCCTCTCTTGAGGAAATGCCTCCATGAGGTCCAGCTGTAAGGCATCTTCTCAACTAATGATCAAGGGGGGAGGACCCAGCCCATTGTGGGTAGTGCCATTCTTGGTCTGGTAGCCCTGGGTTCTATAAGAAAGCAAGCTGAGCAAACCAGGGGAAGCAAACCAGTAAGCAGCATCCCTTCATGGCCTCTGCATCAGCTCCTACCTCCAAGTTCCTGCCCTGTATGAGTTTCAGTCCTGACTTCCTTTGGTGATGAACAGCAATGTGGAAGTGTAAGCTGAATAAACCCTTTCCTCCCTAATTTGCTTCTTGGTCATGATGTTTGTGCAAGAATAGAAACCCTGACTACGACTAATAGTAAGGCCCAAGGAGGGACACTCAGAGACCAGCCAAGCTGTCCCCAAAAGATGCTTTAACCTGTTGCTGCCTTCAAACTGCATTGTGCTCCAGGGTCCAGACTTGAACCACAAACTGTGACTCATGCTAAGGGAGCTTTGGTGATACAGCTGTCTTTGAGACAGTAACCTCTTATCCATACTCCTATAGGTAACCCCAGTAAAACTTACTGGTTTACCCAGTTGGACTTTGGTAGTATCCTTACTTTAGCCTGTCATTAGTTTCCTATTTGGAGTGAGTAGACATTTGCTCATGTCTTCCCAGGAATAATGTAACACAATAGCATTGAAAAAAGCAACTAAAAGTCATTTAAAATGAATAATTTTGTTGACCTGTAACAATCAGAATGTAAACAAGATCAGTCGATCTAATTAATCAGTGTCAATAACATTTTCATTTTTTCCTCACAAACTCACATTTCTATAAATTATACTTGGGGCTGTGTTCTTAGACTTAGTAACTCTTGAATATGGGATCACTCATCTCATCTCGTGCACAGAACTTTCCCGTCAGCTCACCCTCACCTGTGTTAGGTGCTGCTCCCGTGATCCCCTCCCTGCCTCTGCCTCTCAGGTCACTGCCCCCTCCTGCCTGTCTTTATACTGTCTCCTTGTGACTTGCATATGCTGGTGAATGGTCAGTAAATGTTAGGAGGTTGTTTGAGTTCTAAAAACCTGTCTGTTTTCAGACAAAATAAGCAGTCTTCTTGCCTATAGGTATGAAGCAAGTTATTTGGCCTTATGTCAGCTGATAACCCTTAATGTATCAGTGACTTAGTCTGGGACCACAGCCTCGTTTCTCTGCCTTTGGGCAGGACTTCAAATTAGTATCTCACAACTTTGGTCTTGAATAGTTTTATTAAAGGGATATTAATATTTTTATTTTTACTGTACATATACATATACCATCTGTTTATACATACATGCATACTTATATACACATATATCTGTGTGGTTTTCCAGTATGGGTGCCTGTGGCATGTGGATCAAGAACTGAAGGAGGCCAGAAGAGGGTGTTGGATCCCTTGGGACTGGCGCTACATATGATTGTGAGCTGCCATGGGGGCACTAGGAGTTGAATCCCAGGACCTCTGGAATAGCAACCAGTGCTCTTAATCTCTGAGCCATCTTTCTAGCCCCTTCAATATTTTGAGTGAAGGATTTAACTAGATGGTCTCCATGTTCCAATAATGTACAGAGTTTTGTGATCCTGAGACAGACTAGTGAAAGACTAGTTAACTGGTAAGATCTGAGTGTCTGTTTGCATACACCCCCCGAAACCCCCCCCCCACTCATACCATTGGCTAACTCAGAAACAACCAGCTTACTAAATATTTATGGTATTTTCATACAGAGGTGTGTATCTGTGATGTGTCAGAGGGCAAACAGATGTTAAAATGACTTGGAGTTGTAAATATTAAATTACAGTGACATGATGTATGCTAGTTATATCTGCTGTCTTGTCATTGTATAATAGAAAAACTTGTTCATTAGCTGGGTATAGTAGCACACACCTTTAGTATTAGCACTCAGGAGACAGAGGCAGGCCTGGTCTACATAATGAGTTCCAGGATAGCTAGAGCAATACAGTGAGACCCTGTCTCAAACAAACAAATGAACAAACAGAAAGGCTGGTTTGTTTGTGGTAAATGGGGTCATTGGATTAACATCAGATTAATCAGGATATTCCATTTATCATTTTAGTTGTAGAGTATATAAGGTATTTTGAACATGTATGTCTTGAAAATGTTTGAAATATACTTATTTAAAGTATGCTTTAATGTTGGTCAGTGTGTTTAATTTTCCCTAAATAAAGTTTAATAAGAAAATAACAAGAAAATACAAAGCAATCACAATAGTTTAAACTTAAAAAAAAGGGTGTTTATTTTATTTTTAATCAGGTTTGTGTAGTGGTATGTGCACATATTAGTTAGCATAGGTATTCTTGTGGAGGACAGAAGAGGAAGTTGGAGTTACAGACAGTTGCAAGCCACCTAGTGTGGATTCTGGGTCCTCTGGAAGAACTGCATGCGCTCTTAATGGCAGAGGCATCTCTCCAACAACAATATAAAAACTTTTGTCTCTTGGCCAGTGATTTGGACTTGATAGTTATTTCTCATTTTTATGTTGTTTACTTTCAGCTCATTTAGAGACGAGTTTTGAAGAGGTAGAAAACCACCTGCTGCATCTGGAGGACTTGTGTGGGCAGTGTGAGTTAGAAAGACACAAGCAGGCTCAGGCTCAGCACCTGGAGAATTACAAGAAAAGTAAGAGGTGAGTTTAAAACTTGGGTTACACCATGATAATCTCAAAGTGTTCCACATTGATTACATACTATTCTCTATAAAATGTATTATATTTGTTTGTTTGTTGTGTGTGTGGGGGGGAGTGCGTGTCCTAGGACAACTTGTGAGAGATGTTTCTCTGCTATCTTACAGGTCCTCAGGTTATCAGGCAAATGCTTTTACCCACTGAGCCCTCTTCCTTCCCCATGCTATTCTTCTTATGTTTGGATTGCTAAAGATAAAAGTTCCAGCCTGTACTGGTCATTTACAATGTTGCCGTTTAGCGATGAGTTGTCAGAAGGGGGCGGGATTTCCAAGGACCAGCCTTGGCTTAGAGAGGGGTTCTCTGCTATGTTTTTTGGCTCCTTTATACAAGAATTATATGAGTATTGCAACTTTTTTTTTCTATCAGTACAGAGTGAAATTTGATTGTTTTTTTTTTTTTTAAAAAAAAGATATGACCCTTCCAGTCTTTTAACAAGTTAAGTGATTAGACAGAAAAGGAAGCCTGCCACCTAGAGCTGTAAAATTTGACTCATGCTTCCTGGATAACTTTTACTTAATGCATTATGATTTATGCCATAAAATGACGGTGTGGAAAAGTCTAAATGTACTGAGTCATTCTTGGTGTCTTTCATGTTATTGAAATGGCTGAGCATGTCCTTCTTTAGAGATAGAACTTTGTCAAAAACCTCCACCTCCCTCCTAGTTAGTTGATTCCTAACTGTGACCTTGGGAATCAGCCATTTACTTTAGACTTTGATCTCTTATAAAGTTTTGCTTAGTCTAGAATGTTCTTGACTAGTATTGTAATGATTTCTAAAAATAACATTGTTAATGAATTTAGATATGATAGATTTTTAATAAGACTGATTATTCTATAATATATAAGAAAAAAGCATATACCTGACAGCAGTGGCACACACCTTTAATCTCATAATTCGGGAAGCTGAGGCAGGAGGATCTCTTGTGAGTTTGAGGCCGGCCTGGTCTATGGAACAAGTTCTAGGACAGCGAAGGCTATGTGGAGAAACCCTGTCTCAAAAAGAGAGGAGTTGGTGGGTAGGAGGGAGAAGAAAAGAGAGATGGCATGTGTGATGATTAAAGATACAGCTTATAATCTACAGCAGACATCTCATAGACTCTTGACAGGCTAAATTTAAAAACCTTGTCTTTTTCAAGAAAGCATATGACACTAGTGTAGGGTGTCATGACAGTTCTAAGCCTAAGAATTTGGGTGAGGCATTTAAAGGGTAAGAAATTTAAATTAACCAATACTTTAGTTAAACTTTTAAAGACAACATCTGGAAAAAAAATACAGGTAGATATTTGTTAATGCTCAAGACATCTGTGTACAATATTGAGAAATGTCAAAGTATTTTATACCAGTATAGTAAAGCACTTGATTTATTATTTAAATTGAGGTCATGTTTTTATTCTGAAGTTGTGACTACTGATTTAATTGAGAGTTATAACACAAATACATTTGGGCTAGATGCCATGGTAGAACTCAGAAAGCAGAGGTGAGAAGATTGGACGCTCAAGACCAACCTGGGCACAGGGATCCCTGTGTCAAAAAGATAATAAAATACAATCTGAGTTACTGGGAATGTCCTTAGATAACTGATCTTAATTTCCTTCTCCTCTTTTCCTGGCTTTTTGCAAATAGCTTATTATCAGCATTCTTGCTGTAAGATAGAGGTGGTGAGAATTTCTGGCAGGGTACTGAAGAAAAGAGACAGTGTGGGAGGAAAGAAAAGTTTATAGAATGTGGATATTAACTTTCAAAATATTTATCAGAGGTAAGGAAGTAAAATTGTTTCCAAGCATAGAAGAACTCTAGGTTAGCTCACATGTACACTTTGCTAAGAAATGACTGGAGAATATAGTCCACACATAAGAGAGCCAACCATGCAGGAACAAGCTCTACCCTATTTAGGAGGGAGGCAAAAAGGAAGGCATCCAGGGTGATGGTGACCAGAAGGAACCCTGTGGGACATTACCAGGTGAGTTCAGAAGTTGCCAAGAGCAGTGTTTCCAAGAGGAAACAGAACAAGCAGGTTGATAAGCCTAAGCGTTGATAAGCTGTGGTGGAGAAGTTGGTGCTAAATTCGTTCAGGCAGGTTTATTGGTTGGTTTTGTTTTTCCCTAGAAAGCAAGAAGAAGGCAGATAGACAAGGGAAAGCAACTTTCAGGACAGGGCATAAGATAGCATGTCCCAGTTACAAACAGTGTTCACAGAATGTTGTGATCCTTAGATGCAGAGTTAATGATACAGCTTTTTGAGAAGCTGGGCACAGAAGAGCATGTTTATGTCAAAGGAGGGATGGGGGATTCAACGAATTTTCATATTGTACAACAGGAAATCAGTAGTGTTTAAAATAGGAAAGAGAACTTTGTGTTTGGCATATTATTTATAAATACGCCAGTACGAGTAATGACAGAATTGAAGGTGGTTGCTTGTGAAAGGCTGGATGGAGAGATGGAGTGAGCTGCAGCCAGGGGCCAGTTTGTACTGTAAATAATTCCTCACAAGTGCTCCGTGACTTAAGGAATGTACATGTACTGTAAATGCACACATCAAATGTAAGATTTTCTTCCTGGCTGCAGCATTCCCAGAAGTGCTTTACATGAGTACTTACTCATCAAACACTCCCTGATCAAATGCATCACAGACACACTTACGCGTCAGTGCATTAAAGCTCCGAGAATTCCTGGAGGAAAGGCGTTTGTTTGATTCAGTGCTTCACAACTTTCTCCCTTATAGAACCAATTTGCATATAATACATATTAAAATAGGCACCTTAACATTCTGTTTAACACTGAAAATTTAAAATATTGATAACAATAAATGAGCTTGGGGCTGGGGGAAGTGCCTGGTGGGCGGCAATACTTGTCTTAAAAGCATGCTGACCTGGGCTCTAGCCCTGCAACCCACAGAAAAGGCCAGGCTTGGTAGCACAGGCTTGGAGCATTGGAGAAGCAGAGAACAGAACAGAGGATTTTGAAGTGTTGGCTTGCCAGGCAAGCCTGCTCAATAACCTCCAGGCCAGCTCCAGAAAGGTGAATGGTGTCTGGGGAACAGTGTCTGAAGCTATCATCTGGTCTTCATGGCCATGTGCACACCAGGAAGCCAGCACACATGCCATTGCATTAAAGGAATGGCACACCACTGATACTAAAGTTTAACTTTCTGATTCTTAAATGAGGAGTCCTTGACGTCAGCTGTTGTTCCTCAGATGCCTTCGTCCACTTTGGCTTTTATTTACTTCTTTGTTTTGGCACAGGGTCTCTCATTGGTCTGAAACTTACTGATGAAGCTACTGATTAGGCTGGCTAGCCAGCAAGCCCCAGTGAGTCTCCTGTCTGTTTCCTCAGTCACAGGTTGCAGGTACTTGCCACCATGCCTTACTTTTTAACACAGATTCTGGGACTCAAACTCAGGTCCTCATGCTTGTATGGACTCAAGCATGTTACAGACAGAACTATCCCTCTACTCCTGGTGAACGTTTGTATGGACAGAAACTGGGACTGCCTTGACAAATAGTCCCATTGTGGTGTGGATAGAATTATGATTTTGAGCCGACAGGAAATCACACTCTTGAGTGGGGTAGTTGGGATGTATGTATTTAACTCATGGATCTCTTGCAGATGTTTTTGGAACCAGCTGTGCATAGCTTTTTCATAAAGAAATAAATGGATATTTACCATATGGACCAAAATAGAGGACTTAAAACTGTGTACATGCTTTTCTCTAGCTAACAGTTAAAATAGGCTTGGTGTGTGGATGGGAGTCAGCCTGCATTTTAGTCATGGAGTATGGGGAGCACAGACAAAATGTGTATAAAGGAGTAGACTCCTTCAGGCATCAGGGATGGCCTAAGAGGTTAAATAGAGCTGAGTCCTGCATCTGAAGGTTGCAATAGGAGGATCCAGGGCTGTACAAGTCTAGGCAGAAAGAGCAGTATGCACAGAGATTCTGTGTCCTAAAAAACTAGATAGACTTGAGAGAATGAAAAGAACAACTAAAAAAATTTAATCTTGTAAAATTTTGATGTAGTATCACAATAACTTAAGAAGTACTTATTGGGATTCTATCACAATAATTGGTTATTATTACATCTAAAATTCGCTCTATTTTTGTGTGCGTGTCTCTGTGTGCATGTGTGTGATGTGCACATGTCAATCAGAGAGATAGTCTATAGATGTTGGTTCTCTTTATCGTGTAGGTCCTAGGGATTCAAACTCGTCACTAGGCTTGGTGGCACATGCCTTTATACACAGGACCCTCTCACTGGCTCTGTATGACACTTAACATGATACGTATCTGGGCTTGGTGACACATACCATAGAGATGACACACACTCTCTCACACACACACATCATGCATAAAATATAGTTAAGACATTTCTTATTTCCAAACTTCTGGATTGCTTAGATTTTCTCCTTTAGTCTACAGTATACCGTTAGTACATCTTCAAAGTTGATTATAAATACCTCATAGTTTTAACAGCCTTTTGTTGGCTTAGGGGCTTGCTATCTCTGGGAGCCCAGTCACTGACATAGTCAGACTCTGAGATTTGTTTTTTCTTAGATCTTCTGTCCTGTTGGTTAGAGTTGGTTGGTGTTCGTGTGTTTTGAGAGAGTTATCAATCCTTTCTCCTTACATGTATAGATTTATACATTTGTAACTCATGGTAAGCATTATATCCTTTTCCTTGATTTCTTTCATGGCATCATGTGGTCTGACTTTAGAAATCTCTAGAACAAAGTATTAGTGACATAAGTGAGAGGTTACACACCACGTGGTATGGACCAGTGTGTGCTTAGGCCCAACCTGCCAAGCTCCTGAAACGACTGTCCACCTGGCCTGCATAGGTGCTATGGTCAGAAATCTAACTGCGTGTGCACCTTGAGTGCTTGGATTGGTGGGAGGCAGGCCTGGCAAGAGTATAGCACACAGCTTGCCTTTGTTGAGAAGAAAGCAAA